AAAACCCCCCCCCCCCCCCCTTAAGCCCCAATGTTGCCCCCTCCCCAAGTAAAGGAAAAATATATTACAATGAGCTCAATCACAAATTAACATAAACAAAAAAACATAAAGACAAAAGCATAACGCAACGACTTCTGTTTAGTTTCGAGCCCATCATATCTCGATGGAATATGTTCTGTCTTAAATATAAGCAAAAAAGGAAATGGATAACTTCGTTTGCTAAAAACAGTGTTCTAGTATTCCCATGACCAAATCTTCGTCTAGCGGATGAATATATCACAAACCGTTTTTGAGAATGTCGAAAATCTGGGGGTGGGACCCGCAGACCCCACTACAACATCCTACTTTTCAAGTTCAGCACGCCCAAGTATAAGGGACCTTACTGGCCCCTCCAGTGACAAATTCTTAAAAGAGGCCCAACTGTGACTGTCTAACTGGCTGACCGATCGACTATTCAATTTCATTTCTAAACACTTACCGAATCTGTTTCAAAGCACAGACCGATTCTGGTGTATATGTGTCACATAGCATCTGATTTTGTAACACTCTGAAACAAAGATAACTTTTAGGGAATGTCCTCAGTTTAGACAAGCTTTCAGCTAGGGTCTCAAAACTGGCTGTCCAAAAAATACCATGGGTGTGGCAGCCTATTTTCGAGGACGTGGTAAAAAAAGTAGACAAATGACAACTTTTGAAGTATTCAAGAAATCTCACAAAGCTTGCGAGTTGCTGTTTAAAAAAGCATTTTCTAAGGCATTTTTATTGGGAAACAGAATATTAGAAGATCAGCAGCATACCTTATCTTGAGACACATTGCGTGACATTTTGCAGCCAACCAATCACTTGTTATCTCGTCATATTTCTTTTGCCACTCGAGTTTGTATTCAGTGATGAGTTTCTCGGAGACTTCCAGAGAACGGACCAATGTCTATATTATAAAGAATATACAAAACAAAAGATAAACCTCCTCATGATGAAACCGTCTTAACTTGGGGCATTCCATACCAAAACACTTTCTGCTAATAATCTATAACATCTTTTGTTTGGCAATTGAAATTTAAAAAACACATTTCTTCGTTCTTATGTTACCGATTCGTGTCTCACCTGATAATACTGAACATGTTGTGTACTCTTCGACATCCTGTGTGCACGAGGTTGTTTCTTATCTTCTTGCAGACATAATTTTTCCGCTTCGATTATGGATGGCAACTGCGTTGCTTTGGCAAAAGCGAACTTTGAATCTTTTTCTACAAAGGAAAAGTTCGTAGGGGCTAGAGAGTAGAGTTGCATTTTGGCAGCTGCTACTGGGTAGGTCTGAAAATTAATTTCCATCTACAAAACAAGGGGTGCAAGCGGCACCACTGAGCTTGGGCAGGGCTTACGCGTCAGGGTTAAAGACTTTCACACAAAATAGGAGGGGTGAAGCGAAATTTTGGTGGGGTTGAACACTTTATTAGAGGGGTTAGAGAGATTCTAAGGGGGGTTACCCCCCCCCCCCAAGTAAATCTGCCCATGCTACAAAAACCCTTTAACTGTTAGTTCCAACGAGCGAGTGCCCAAAATCTTGATTTGACAAAATGTACGGCTCTTCAATTTCAAATCTGATCCATTCTCTATCATAGCGGTAAAACTCATTAATAAAAAATGCAAAGAAATCAATGTGATGTTGTATCCACATATATAAATTTCTCAGTTAAAATAACTTCTTTTTCAATAATTTCTTAAAACACAACAAATTTATACCTTTCAGTTTCACGTCCATGTTGCATAAGACATACAACTTCTTAATGCTTTCGCTGGAAATTGTATATATCTGATACAACATAGCGGGTCATGCCGTATATATATTACTTACGCTACGTCGACCTGCCACCGCTAGAAACATGACCATCTTATACCTACAGGTGTACTACAGTATACAATAACCATCAAATACCTTTTGATTTCGCAGTTTGGTGGTATTGAGCAACTTGTTCACATTTTGACTTTAGACGATTTTCCAATTCCGGAATAAGGCCTTGCTGAAACACCTACAGGTAAATTGGAAAACACTACATGCAACCACTGTGGTAGAACTTGTATTCATGTTAATCCCAGTAACGGAACTAGTATTTAAAAATTAAATGTTAGTTCCTCAGGCAAAGAGAAAATTATGCAAGTCAAAGGAAAGATAATGGATATTCCTTGCTACTAAAGACAGTCGAAAAAATAAATATCATTTCGAACTTGCGCAGAATGTCAATTACCTGTCCATCAGTGATAGGTTTAGATAAATGATACACTTATTTAAAACTGTCAAAGTTCAATAAGGAACATAACAAGTGGTCAGGATAATTATAATATTACGTCATCGTTTGGTGTAACTTAATGTCCTGGTTAATTTAACCACAGTACTTGTCAATTTGATCACTATTATTGCTAAACCAGGATTCCTACCATTTTGTGGGCATCATTTTTATGCAGCTGGTCAGCTTTCAAACCAAGTAGCGTCACATCCAAACCACCAACTTCAGGATTGAAGTCCAAGTAATCTACAGCCTCGGCTGATGTTAATGCTTCTTTCATTGCCTGGTATGTCTTAATAAGGCCAACAAGAATGTTTTAAAACAAAGTAACATAGTTTACGCAAAAGTTCTCATTGGTAAGTACTATCTATCTAGCGCGAAGTCACAGGGAAATTGAGAGCATAGCCCAGTTTATTCATGACAAGTAAAAAAAATTAAGTCTTGCATAAAGTTCAACAACTTCCTAGTTTTACCTGTGCAGAGGGACCATCTACTTCATGATCAAGTCTACTGATCTCATAATCTAACAGAATGTCCTTCAATTCTTCATAAACAACTTTAGCCTGAAGATATTGTAGTTTTTCCTGCCTCAAAGCATCATTCACCTTTACAATAGTCAATATTCAGATTGATTCACAGACTGAGGTATATTCTGAACATGCATGTTGTAATATGTACACAGTAATAAAGATCGTAATGCAAAAATAGTGGCTACATGTTTATCACTGGGTGGATAAAGCAAGCAACTGCAGGTCAACAGGTGCTAAACATAGGTGGGGAGGTGGAGGGGGCTAAAGAAACTTTGGGTGGGTCCAGGGGCATGAATGCATTCAAAATTTTGAATTCTAAGAGTCTTAGAAATGACATTTTCTTACACTTCTCAGGAAGATTTGACATGTAGAATGATGCACAAATAATCACAAATTGGTCATACTCATTTTGTTTTCATTGGATTGTTCCAGAAATGATCCACCGTGCCCCCAAAGATGAAATTTCTGCCATCTGGGGGGGGGGGGGGGGG